ACATTAGCTGGACTGCCTTAGATAATAATTCGGGTGATTTATTTTCATTTCCCTCTTTCTCACACATTTTTTTATAAATAAGATCTTGAAGGTTTTCTAATTGAAAGAAATCTGCCGCATTCAAGGTTTCGAAAGCATTGTTGGTCGTAATGTCCCTCTCCAAAACTGTTCCCGTATACAAATATTCAAGAATAATTTTCATAGATGATGCCTCAATTTTTAGAAACGAAACTTGTTTGTCCAAATCTTCGGATCTTGTAAAAAGAACCCTCTCAAACACCTCGGAACGAGCGGCAAGAATTGCACGATTTCCATAAAGAACATAATTATCTTTACATATGATTTCCAAATCACTGTACCGAGGATTATTAATAAGAAGTCTTAAGTCATTTATAAGGGAGTTTCCGCGCACCATTATTGTTTCAAGAGTGATAGCTGACACAGCAGCCACCTATGCGAGAATTTTATACAGATTTCCTAAATACAGGTCAACTCTCGATAAGCCGAACTTTTAATGGAACATATACTATAATAAGTAAAATTACTATCTGAAATAGTTAAATTGATCGACAGGTAATAAATAACGATGCTTTTGTTTAGCTAAGCCTTTCATCAGGAAATTTTTGAGCAGAGGAACTCCGTATATCTCCACATATCTCCGCTGTCGTTAAAGATCTCCGGAGTATCAAAAAATATATACAGTATATATATTTCGAAAATCTCCGAAAATTTATTTCCTCCGGAGATTTTCGAAGGTTTTCGCAAATGTTTGTAATATTTTAATAACTTTCGAAAACCTTCGATAATCTCCGGAGGAAATTTTCAGAGATTTTCGAAATTTATATATATATTTTTGATTCTCCGGAGATCTCTAACGATGGCAGAGATATGCAGAGTTCCTCCACTCAAAAAATTTCCTGATGTTCTATATATGTGTATACAGTATAAAAAGTTCGGCGGCAATACATATACGCACGTACGTTAACCATTTTCCAGTACAAGTATTTGATTATCGAATGTTTATTGATTCATTCGTAGTTAAAGTAAAGATTATAATTCAGATCAATTAAGATATATTTGGCATAAATTTGCTTAGTCTATAATTGTAGTTAAAGAAAACTTGATGAGTTTGCTCAATACTGTAAATATCAATGAAAATTTGTTTCCTAAAAATAAAGAATATATCGTAATAGATTAATTAAGACACCTTTGTTTAAAAAAATTAACGATGATATATTTACCGTCTGTAAGTGTTATTAAGTAAAGAATATAACTCGGTTCAATTAAGGTACCTTTAATATAAATCAATTAACAGATATTAAAAAAATATATTTTTACCGTTGTTAAAGTAAATATCACTCAGCTAATACCTTTAATAGGAATTACTAAACAAATATTTGACGAAAATATGCTTAACATCTGCAGTTGTTAAAGAATATAACTCATTTCAATCAAGATACCTTAAATATGAATTACACGGAAAACATTAGCGAAAAAATTTTACCGTGTAATCAATTTTTAAAGTAAAAAATATAACACTGATTAATTAAGACACCTTTCAAGTGAATTATTAAACAAATATTAATAAAAATATTCTCACCGTTTGTAATCGCTTTTAAAGTAAAAATATAACTCAGTTCGATTAACATCTATAATCTACAAATACAGTATATGCCTACCGCCCGTAATTATTTTTAAAGTGAATATAGACACCGAACTATTCAACAAATATTAGCAAAATTATTCATTTTGTCTGTAATCGTTTTTAAAGTAAAAAATATAACCCGATCAATTAAAACATATTTGATATAAATCATTCAAAAAATATTAATGAAAATATACTTATCGTTGTTAAAAAATATATCTCATACCTCTTCACAGACCTTACATAGATTTCAATCAACGCCCGGATACAGATCTCGTGACATATGCAGAAAGGCAGCTACTGTATTAACATCACTAAGCTTTCAAGTTTCATGAAAATAGATCGTGAGATTCTTTTTGCATATAGTGCCGTCTTATATTGTCTTTCGCAAGCTACTGCTATACATTTGTTGGGTATATTTTCTTCTCAAGGCAAAATGTACATGCAGAAATGCATTGAAGCATATATATGAACGTGTTAAAAACTTTGTTCGAAGTATAACTCAAAAAAGCGAACGAAAGTGGTATAGTCAAAAGGCCCACTTACTTGAAAGGTCATGTAATAGGATTAATGGAAAGGAAGTCAATAGGGTTCAAGTGACGCTGACACCATCTCCCTCGTTCATACACCATCAGGAACCTGTGGATAACAGTGGCGACAGAATGACTCTAATTTCTTATCCAGCTATAAAATTAAAAAAGTTTCCAATTTTTCACACTCAGATATCCATACGACGTCAACAAACGTGATTTCCCCTTCACACCCTACAGCTAACTTACGTGACCACTTTATCCCAGAATGCATCTCAGCTATATAAACCCGCTCTCACCTGAACTTTCGCCTTTTCCTCAACACCATCCGCAATTCCAACAACATCAAACCCATGCGCATTCTAAAGTTCAACAGCTAGTCTGTGATTTGAAGAAGACCATTTATATATAGACGTACCATTCGGTTCAAATGGAATGTTATTGTCCCATCTTCAAACTATTATTTTCCGCAAAAAACCCTAGATGTGGAAGATTGGATATAAATAATTCTTCATAAAATAAGACTCCTTTTCCCCAAAGAAATAAAAAATTTCTTTGAAATCAGTTTTTAAAAAATTTTATAAAAATTTTAATTAAAAATATTATTCAATAATTTTGTTACTAAAAATTATATTATTTAATTATCGAAATTTAAATATTTAAATATTATATTCAAATATTATAATTCAAATACAAATTTTTATTATATTAATTTATTATTAATTTATTTATAAAATTATAAACCGGTAATATTTCTTATATAAAAAATCTTGATTAATTTAGATTTATAAATTTAATTTAATTTTTTTGCTATTTAAATAAATTTTATGTTTATTTTATAAAAGTTTTATTTAAAAAATTATTATAAAAAATTATTATTATATTTACAAATTTGGTTATATATTCGGATTTTAATTATATATATAGATTTAAAACCAGATATTTAATAGGATATCTAGTTACTGTATATATCTGGAATTTAACTATTTTATAAACAGATTTTAAACAGTATATTTAATTATATATCTAGATTAAAAACAATAACTATAAAGATATTCAATTATATGTCAGATATAAGCTCTAGTCAAATTTCTTCAGTTACTATACAATAATAAAGTTGACACATTAATGATATCTGCAATTAAATATGTATGTATTGGTATCAATAAACATATCTTTTGTTTTAGCTGTAAATAAAATATTTTAATTTCTACTTCATTCTTCTACTACATTAGCAAATACTAAATTGCTACTAATATTATTGGTCATAATATTCATTATATTATAAATTTAATAAATAAATAAATATAATTATTTTTATTTATTTATTTTAATGTTAAGTAAGGCATTTCTCATAATCTTTATTAATAGAGTAAAATTGTTACATGTTAATATTAAAATGTGAGATACATTACTATACATATCAACCTACCACTGTATTAGATATATTTTTATTAAAAAAATCCTTGAGCAAGGAAAAAAAAAGAACTATATAATCTTGGAAGGCTAATGTCTCCTTAATAATTTATTTTATCTTAAAAAAACATGAAAGAAATTTGGAAGAATAGTTTAAGTATAATATCAGTTAGTTTGTTATATTGAATATGTTTGTCGTTGGTTGGATTAATTTTTGTATTTTATTTTTTTTAATTGGTTTTTTTGAGTATTTTGTTTTTATTGTTATTATTTTTTTTGTATTTGATATTTTGTGATATGTCAAGAAATTCCTTTTCTACTATTATGTCCTTGTTTCTGGGGATCCAAATATAAAGATAAGCATTTCATTTTGGATTAGATTGAAAAATTTCAGATCTTATTGAATTGGTTTGAAGTTGTTAAAAAACTTTTTGAGTTGAAATATTCCTGTCAGGAAATTAATTAAGTTAAGAGAATTGCTAATTATTTTTTGAATTGAGTTAGTATTGTAAAGAAAAAAAAATGAAAAATAATACAGTTTGGATTATATAATTAATGATCAATACAGTATTGTATCAAAGAAATAAAAATTAGTAGTAATCTAAAAAATATGAATAATAATAATGTAATTAGTGGCTGACTTATATAATTACTGAAAAAAGGTATTGGAATTTCTTATTTTTTCTTGTCTTTTCAATTTTTTTCAATTTTGTTTTTAAAAAAAATGTATAATTAGTAAATAAAAATTAGTAAATATAACAGATTCTAAATAAAGAAAACACTTATCTTGACCAATCTAATGCTTTAACAAATACCCTATTATTAAATAAATCTATTTTACAGATTTCATTATTAGCTAATAACTGGCTTGTTATTTTACTTTCACAGTATTCAGATTTTTGTTGTTTTTGAGTTTTTTAATAATTAATATTTGGATGTCTGTTATTATTTTTTTGATTGTAACTGTG